GGGGGGGGGGGCAACCAATCAGATCTGTCTTGGTCTGTTCATGCTGGGAGTCGGAGCTGAGAGGCCACCCCCCTGAGGTCTGACAATTGCTGTCCTATCTCAACTCGGTATTAATGAGTTGTTGAGTCGTCTTCCGGCTCCAGAGCAAACATAACACAATTGCGCATGATTTAATTTTTTTTTTTTAATTCATTTTTTTTGCTCCATTATTTTCCAATTTTTGGGGCATTTTTATCTTTTTTTTGTTTTTTTTTTCTTTTTGTTTTTTTTTGTTAATTTGCTTCTTTTTCAATGTATTCCCTTTTTTCCAGTTAATTGCTTTCCTTTTTTTCTTCTTCTCCCAGCATACAGCCAGGCGAGTGCCGTTCACACAACATTACCGCCACTAGATGGAGCCATTGAGCAATGCAAATTTATGCTCCTCGGCTCCATCTAGTGGTGGCAATGCTGTGTGAACGGCACTCGCCTGGCTGTGTGCTGGGAGGAACGTTTAGGGTTAGTTCGCACCAGAATCTGACCGGGACGCACTGCCTCGCATTGCGGCCAGCTCACTTTTTTGCCTGGCTGGAGGAGGCGTGGCGGGCCATTGAAGTGGGTGGCACCGTAGCCACGCCATGCGGCCGCAATGCTATCGCCCGCACGGGATCGCAAGGCACATTCCTGTCTGGTAGAATGTCGCTTCCTTCCTGTCTGGTAGAATGTCGCTTCCTTCCTGTCTGGTAGAATGTCGCTTCCTTCCTGTCTGGTAGAATGTCGCTTCCTTCCTGTCTGGTAGAATGTCGCTTCCTTCCTGTCTGGTAGAATGTCGCTTCCTTCCTGTCTGGTAGAATGTCGCTTCCTTCCTGTCTGGTAGAATGCCTCTTCCTTCCTGTCTGGTAGAATGCCTCTTCCTTCCTGTCTGGTAGAATGTCGCTTCCTTGCTGTCTGAATGTCACTTCCTTGCTGTCTGGACGTCACTTCCTTGCTGTCTGGACGTCACTTCCATGCTGTCTGGACGTCACTTCCATGCTGTCTGGACGTCACTTTCTTGCTGTCTGGACGTCACTTCCATGCTGTCTGGTAGAACGTCACTTCCTTGCTGTCTGGTAGAACGTCACTTCCTTGCTGTCTGGTAGAACGTCACTTCCTTGCTGTCTGGTAGAACGTCACTTCCTTGCTGTCTGGTAGAACGTCACTTCCTTGCTGTCTGGTAGAACGTCACTTCCTTGCTGTCTGGTAGAACGTCACTTCCTTGCTGTCTGGTAGAACGTCACTTCCTTGCTGTCTGGTAGAACGTCACTTCCTTGCTGTCTGGTAGAACGTCACTTCCTTGCTGTCTGGTAGAATGTCAGAGTTGTCACCCTGGGACAGGACTACAGAATCTCGGATGTATGTTTTTGAAGCAGAGTTGAGAGGGGGAGATGTTCTGCACACTTCTCTCAGGGTGACAACGCTGCTCCTCCCGTATGTACAGCACAGTGAGTGTTGTCACACTAGGACAGGACTGCAGAACACCTCCCACTTTTTTAGCTCTCCATAACATAAGGGGTGAGGTGGCGAATGGACAGGAAGGACTACAGAGCACATCTCGGGAAGCTGCGATTCAACATTTGGAGATTTGATCTCTCGGTGTGGAGGATTCTCTGGCTGTAATATAAGAGGAGCCCAGCGGCCGTGTATTTCAGACTCCATCCTGTAATCCACACCCCCATCCCCCCCGCCATGTGGTCACCCGACCGGTTGTAGTTTCAGGTCACATGATCAGACTTGTCGCTTTGTAAGGGCTGTGAAAATCCCTCAAATCAACGACTTAACACGACGACTCGCCGCCACCTGTCAGTCCTGCACCGCCGCCAACATCGGGCTCCCCCCTTTTGCAGTATAAAAATGTATAAAGAGGACCTGTCAGAGGATAAAGAGGGGGGAAGACCTGAACCCCTGAATTGTGGGTTGTAGCTGTCTGCTGCAGGCAGGTGGAAGCATTTCCTCAGTCTCACCTCCCCCAGTGATCAGTCTGCTGCAGGCAGGAGGAAGCATTTCCTCAGTCTCCCCTCCCCCCAGTGATCAGTCTGCTGCAGGCAGGAGGAAGCATTTCCTCAGTCTCCCCTCCCCCAGTGATCAGTCTGCTGCAGGCAGGAGGAAGTATTTCTCAAGATGGCGCCGTCCTTCTTGGAGACTAAAGCAGAAGTCAATGTCAGGGGGAGTCATGTGACCTTTGGGGGGGCGGGGTCATACTGGAAGGGTTACAATGACGCTGGGCGATTTGTATCTAATGTCACTTCTTGTGTTTTTGCTCTGCAGGATGACAACTGGGGAGAAACCACGACGGTGGTCACGGGGACATCTGAGCACAGCATATCCCACGATGACATCACCCGGATCACTAAGGACATGGAGGACAGCGCCAGCCTGGACTGCTCCCGCCACCTGGGCGTCATTGTGGGCGGAGCCCTGGCCCTGGTCTCCTTCCTCACCCCCATTGCCTTCATGCTGCTGCCCAAAATCCTGCCGTGGGACCTGGAGGCCTGCGGCACGCCCTGCGAGGGCCTCTTCATCTCCGTGGCCTTCAAACTCCTCATCCTCCTGGTGGGCAGCTGGGCGCTCTTCTTCCGCCGCCCCAAGGCTTTCTTCCCGCGGGTCTTCGTCTTCCGGGCGCTCATCATGGTGCTCATCTTCCTCCTGGTGGTGTCCTACTGGCTCTTCTACGCCGTCCGCATCCTCACCACCGCCGAGCGCAACTACCAGGGGATCGTACAGTACGCCGTGTCCCTGGTGGACGCCCTGCTCTTCGTCCACTACCTGGCCGTGGTCCTCCTGGAATTCAGAGACTGGGGAGGAGGCCTCGGCTCAGAGACTGGGGAGGAGGCCTCGGCTCAGAGACTGGGCTCAGGCTTTCTCCGGGGCCACTTTACTGAGGCTCTTCCAGTTGGTGAAGCACAATCTCGGTGTAGCTCTACTACTAAGCAGTATGCGTATGTAATTTGCGGTAATGGCTCCGGCCTCTCCTCCTGTCTCCTCTCCTGGACTGAACCTCTCACAATGTGCATCAGAAGCTGCAGCCAGTCAGAGCCCGCCTCATTTGCTGGCTATATGATGTCCAGCCTCATCTAGGACTTTCCTCACTGGCCTTACTGTCCCTGGCCCCGCCCCTTTCATTAATTGGCTGTCAGTTCTGTCATGGCATGTGATAATTTTACTTATAAATATTAGCATGTTGATGATGGGGGAGGGGAGCAGATTAAATGTCCATCATGACCGTCTGTTCAAAACCACCCCCTGACGTTCCTGCGTCTGCAGCACATCGCGCCTTGTTACGAGAGGCCTCCGGCCAGGTGACAGGTGACGGGCCGATCCCTCTCCCAGACACTTCTTATCTCTCGGCAGGTTTTATGATCCCCAAACTAAGACACTTAAAGGGCCAGATCTTATCTTTATGGTGTAATGAGTTTACAGCCCTGGCCATAAACCAATTCCACAATCCACACACCATAAAACCTCCACCTACAGAGGAAGCAACACAAACCAAAGGGCCCGGGGCTCTGACACAGAGACCACTTCAAGGGGAAACTCCTCTTCCAGCATTGGCTGGACTATGGCTTGGCGACCAAATCCACCAAATTGCCCATCTGAGCCCAACAGCGTCAATGGAGGAACCTCCCTGACGACTATCCGAATCCTCCGAACAGTGACTGAATCTGATTGGTTGCTGTTCTACAACCGGCTGGACAAACTTGGATTTACAAAATTGAAGGATCCGGGTGGAAAATTCTTGGGGCCGAGAGGGCCAACCATGGCTCGAATGGAAGGAACGGAGCCATGTATGGCTACCTTAAGGTGGACGTGAACCTCTGTACATATTAATACACTATATGGCCAAAGGTTTATCAACACCTGACCAAAAGTATGAGGACCTCCTTCAAATGAATGCATTCAGGTGTCTCCACACCTGAATGCCCTCTGTCCATGTTATTGCACTATATGGCCAAAGGTTTATGGACACCTGATCATCATGGCTACACTATGAAAGTATGAAGACCCCCCTCCCCCTTCAAATTATGGAGTTGAGGTGTCTCCTGTGAAGGGTCCTGGAATGCAAGGATCGTACCACTAGGGAGGTAGGAGAGGCTGTTGGGTAGTTGAATGTATAGAGGGAATGTTTGAACCCCCATCAGGTTTTTCTGGCCTTGTATTGGGGACAGACAACAGGAAGTGAGAGGAAATCGCTAGGAGGGAATCCCCTCTTAGTCCTATGGAAAGCCTTCCCGGAAGAGTGGAGGTTGTTATAGACACAGTGGGGGGACAACTCTGTTACTGAACATGGGGGGAAGGGAGGGGGGACAACTCCTTGTTGCTGGCCATGGAAGGGGGACAACTCTGTTAATGGCCGTGGAAGGAGGGAAGGGGGGCAACTTCATGTTACTGGCCCTTTGGGCAAGGGGACAACTCATTGTGAATGGCCATGGGGAGAGGTGAGGAGGGCAACTCCATGTTGATGGCCATGGGGAGAGGTGAGGAGGGCAACTCTATGTTAATGGCCATGGGGGGAGGTGAGGAGGGCAACTCAATGTTGATGGCCATGGGGGAAGGTGAGGAGGGCAACCCCATGTACACGTTGATGGCCATGGGGGAAGGTGAGGAGAGGAGAGCAACTCCATGTTGATGGCCATGGGGGAAGGTGAGGAGGGCAACTCAATGTACATGTTGATGGCCATGCGGGGAGGTGAGGAGGGCAACTCCATGTTGATGGCCATGGGGGAAGGTGAAGAGGGCAACTCCATGTACATGTTGATGGCCATGGGGAGAGGTGAGGAGGGCAACTCCATGTTGATGGCCATGGGGAAGGTGAAGAGGGCAACTCCATGTTGATGGCCATGGTTTTGGAATGGGATGTCCAGCAAGCTCATACAGACGTCATGGTCAGGTGTCCACAAACTTCTATATGATGTATCTGCAACTGCATTTCCCCCTCACTTCCTGTCCTGGGGACTGTTTTCACCAATCCAGGAAGTGCGGGGAAATCCCTCTAATGGAAACACAGCAGGAGCAAAAATGCTATTTTTTTTTCTTTTTTCTGAAGTTCGGGTTTACACGTTTTTCTAGAAGCAATGACAGTCCCTGGTCGCCAGTTTACTCTTCCATCTCTCAACCTGGAAGCAGTAGAGCAGCTAACTTTTTTTTTATTTCATCATCATATTATAATAATAATAATAAAATTATTGTTATTATTTAATAATAAACATTATGTTTTATTACCAAAAAAAATACAATGC